ATGCAGTGTACAGCTAATTTGCCTACAAACATCAGGTGGTCATAATAATCTGGCCACTCAGTGTAAATGTAAAGAGGAAAATTTTAAATGATGGGCTATGATATCATTAGTATTGAAAAGTAAGTATGAGGCTTATGTTTAGGGGTCATGTCACGGGGAAAAAAATGTCATTCAGGCCCTGGCCAGTGTTGCTAAGTAGTTAGAGCATTGGCCCGTGCACCAAAGGGTTTCGGGTTCTATTTCTGGTCAAGGGTACTTACCTAGGTTGCAGGACGGATTCCTCAGCCCTGATTGGACACTGTGGGAGGCAACCAATTGATATGTCCCTCTCACATCAATGTTTCTCTCTCTTTCCCTCTCTCTAAAATCAATAAAAACATATTTAAAATTTTTTTCAATGGTAAATTGTTGTGCATATTTTACCACAAATAAAAACAACCCACTGACCTCCCAGTATATTTAGAATTAAATCCAAACTTTGCATCATGGCAAGCAAAAGCTCTGTGACCTGTACCCTTCCCCCATGTGGCTCAGTGGTTGGGCATCATCCTTTGCAGTGAAGGGTTGCCATTCAAGTCCCTGATCACAAATGGGGGGTTTGCAGGAGATGGGGGCCATACAGCAGGTGGACAATTGATGTGATCGCTCTCACATGGATGTTTCTCTCTCTATCCCTCTCTCTCTCAAAAATCCAATAAAAATCTTTTATTTTTTTTTTTAATGTCTCGTCCTTACCAAGTCCGGCCTGGGTATCCATCTGCAACAGGCACTTTTAGCACATCTTCTGTTTTAGTTCCTTTGTAGTGCTTATTATTTGCAATACAGTACCTAGTCTTATTTATATACTGGCTTATCACTACTCTCCCCCCCTCCCCAACCACTCAGAGGTAAGTTCTAAGAGGATTCCTGTGTCAGTTTTCCCTGCTATATCCTGACACACAGAACAGTTCCTAGTACATGGTAAATGCTTACTAGGTTTCTGTTAAAGAGATTAATGAGAAAGAGCAGACAGCACTCATCCTGTGCTTCATGCTGACCTTGGTTGGCAGAGCTGTGCGTGACACACTGTGCCTGGTTCTGCTCCCCCCTCCCTGGTGGCACCTCCTCTCCAGCTCTACCTTCTCTTTGACCCACCCCTCCCCAGTACTGGTCATCCCTGGCCTTCACACCCTCCCACTCCTGACTGCCCCTTGCCCAGCAGTCGGGCTCTCTTGCTCCAGCTATCTGTGCTTGAAACCTCTGGGACTTACTTGTTCACAGCTCATATTGGCAGTCACTGAGCCATGCAGATACTATGGCAGAAACCTCTCATGAGTATCTTTCTTCCCAATTCCAAGGTCAGGAAGCAAGAAAAGATCTTGCTCTTTAGCTTGGTCCCAGCTCCTGATCAGCTCTACCTGGGAGCAGGTGTCCAACGGTCTCTAGTAACGGTCTCCTCCTACAGGTCACACTTTACACTATTTACAAAGACATCTGTAAAAAAAATTTTTTTTATTGATTTTTAGAGAGGGAGAGGAAGAGGGAGAGGGAGAGAGAAAGAGAAACATCAATGTGCAAGCAGAACATCTATCGGCTGCCTCCTGCACACCCCCTACTAGGGGTCAAGCCCATAATCTGGGCATGTGGCCGGACCAGGAATTGAACCAGCAACATCTTTGGTGCACGGGATGACGCCCAACCAACTGAGCCACACCCGATGGGGCCAAAGGCATCTTCGGAGAGTACCTGTCCAACGGCTCTAGTAACGGTCTCCTCCTACAGGTCACACTTTACACTATTTACAAAGACATCTGTAAAAAAAATTTTTTTTTATTGATTTTTAGAGAGTGAGAGGAAGAGGGAGAGGGAGAAAGAGAAACATCAATGTGCAAGCAGAACATCAATCGGCTGCCCCCTGCACACCCCCTACTAGGGGTCAAGCCCATAATCTGGGCATGTGGCCGGACCAGGAATTGAACCAGCAACATCTTTGGTGCACGGGATGACGCCCAACCAACTGAGCCACACCCGATGGGGCCAAAGGCATCTTCGGAGAGTACCTATCAAACAACCTGCTTCTGCTAAGAACGTTCTCTGGCTCCTCAGGGTAATCCTTAAGCTCCTCTGCTGGGATCTGTTGGCTCTTCCAGCTTGGCATCCACCTCACTGCTGCATCTTCCGTTACTCATTATCTAGTTCTTTTCTTTTTAATTGGTTTTAGAGCCCTGGTCGGTTGCTAAGTGGTTAGAGCATTGGCCCGCAGTCCCTAGGGTCTTGGGTTCGATTCCTGATCAAGGGCACGACCTTGGTTGCAGGCTTGATCCCTGGTCCTGATCAGTGTATGAACAGGAGGCAACCAATCGATGTGTGATTCTCTCTCCACACCTCCTGTCTCCCCTCCACTCTCTCTAAAAAAAAATCAATGAGAAAAAAAAATATCCTCCGGTGAAAATTTTATAAAATTTGATTTTAGAGAGAGGAAGGGGGGGAGAGAGAGAGTGAGCATGAGAGAGAGATATCTATTGGTTGCCTCCTGGATTCACCCTGACTGGGGATGGAACCTGCAACCTGGGTATGTGCCCTGACTGGGAATCAAACCTGCCACCTTTGGTGTATGAGTAGGACTGGATGCTCCAACTGAGCCACACCAGCCAGAACCATTACCTAGTTGTTTATGTTTCAGTCATACTACTGTTCCTTATACATGTCTCTCCTGGTTGGAATCTTTCTCATCCTTCAAGGCTGATTTAAACCACTTCCTTCAGGCAACCTTCCTTGTTTCAGAAGACTTGCCCAGGTCTCTTCTTGGTCCTGAAAATCTCCCCACACAGCAATCACCACCTAACGCTATGGGAAGCACAACCCTCTCCTCCAAGATGCAGTTCCTGGGGTCTCGCCAACAGGACGGTTTGGGTGGTGCCGCTGGCACATCCTTCATCACAGCCGAGATCAGGCCACTCTTTTCTGAGTCAGCCTGTCCCTGGAGCCCAGCACAAAACCCAGAGGCCTCAGGTGTTGTTTGTGAGTGACAGCATGGAGCCAGCCTTCCTCAGCCCGGGATTCCCTGATCACCTCGCTGTCTCTCCAGCTAGTCCGGCCCTCCAACGGTCTGAGGGACAGTGAACTGGCCCCCTGTTTAAAAAGTTTGAGGACCCCTGGATTAGGTAATAATAAAAACCGGTGTTTATCTTACTTAATTCTACAGCAAGTTTAGGAGTTAGGTTTTATAGATAAAGAAACTAAGGCACAGAGAGGTGACTAGGTTGAGAGGTAACTTGCCTGAGACTGCACAGCTAAAAAGCAAGTGAGTCAGGATCTGAGCCCAGACAGTCCGGCTCCAGAGACCAGGCTCTTCCCTTTATTCCACACTGTGTCCATTTCTAAGCCTTTTCATGAAACAAGGCTCCCTTTGCCTGAAAATCTCCCCACAGAGCAATCACCACCTAACGCTATGGGAAGCACAACCCTCTTGCCCAGGTCTCTTCTTGGTCCTGAAAATCTCCCCACACAGCAATCACCACCTAACGCTATGGGAAGCACAACCCTCTCCTCCAAGATGCAGTTCCTGGGGTCTCGCCAACAGGACGGTTTGGGTGGTGCCGCTGGCACATCCTTCATCACAGCCGAGATCAGGCCACTCTTTTCTGAGTCAGCCTGTCCCTGGAGCCCAGCACAAAACCCAGAGGCCTCAGGTGTTGTTTGTGAGTGACAGCATGGAGCCAGCCTTCCTCAGCCCGGGATTCCCTGATCACCTCGCTGTCTCTCCAGCAGGTCACTGAATGTGGGCTGTACCTTTCTGAGTGAAGTCATTGGCTTTGGCAGGGCTTTCCATTTTCCTGCTGAGATTCTCCCAGACAGGCAGGGTTGGGCCCTGCATCCTGAGGAGCCACCCCTCCAAGGGGAGGCCACTCTCTGGCTGGGAAGTAAGGACCAAAATACCTTTTAAAAAAAAATTCATTTATTGATTGAGAGAGAAAGGACAAGAGATACATAGAGAGAAACAGCGACCCATTGTTCCACCTATCCATGTATTACTGGCTGATTCTGGTATGTGGCCTGGGTGGGGATAGAACCCACAACCTTGGCATATTCGAATGATGCTCTAACCAACTGAGCTAGCTGGCCACGACCAAAAAAACCTTTCCTGTAGTTGCTGTTGTTTGCTGTCCCACTGGCTTCCTGCCCAGATCTCAGCTCTCACCTCACTCTCACCTGGGCGGGACCTGTATTCTACTGACTGCTCAGAGAAAGTGGTAGAAATATTGGGGCTCTGTGTCAGTTTCCAGCTTTGCTGTCTTAAAGCAGTGGAATGTTGAGGGGGGAAATCACTTAATCTCTGAGCCTCAGTCCACTCATCTGCAAAACATGGCTATTGATATCCATGCCCGGCCTCCTTAGCCTTTCTGAAGTGTAAAATGTCGATAATTCACTCTTTCAACACATTTATTGCACATTTACTATGTCATACATACTATATTGTTTAAATTTCAGTCTTCACAGTAACCCTCTCCCTTGAGGTAGACATTAGTAATCCTCATTTTACAGATGAGGGAGTGAGGCTGGGGAGGGCCGACTTGCCAGCGGTGCTGTGCAGAGACTGGCTCTGTGCTGGGCTCCCTGCTGGAGTCAGCTGGCCAGGCTGACCACCTCCACCTGGGCCCCTCCCCAGGCCCCAGTCCTCAGCGTTTACCTCTCATGCAGATAAGCAGCAAGGGGTGGTTTTTGAGACAGCAAAGATCTTGGTTGCACCTGCTACTGAAACAACACTGAGAAAAGTCCGCGTCTCACTCATTTTTTAGAAAAACCGGGTAGAGGGGCGTCAAGTTTAATCTAGGTGAATCTTTACAGGCACTTTCCTTTCTACATGTTTGAAAACCTGAGGGATCCTTGAGGGAAGCCCAAGGGATGAACTTGGGTTCCCAAGTCCCTGATTTAGGAATCTCCCTCAGGGCCCAGTCAGTCCTTATCGCCGAGGTCAGGCTCAGCCCCACGCGTGGGAGCCACTCACCCGCACTCCTGAAAGATGTTCGGGTAGTGCCGGAACAGCACCGGCGGGTCCCGGTCATCCCGAAC